TTTATTTACAGACAGACAAAATCAACGTGAAACCACGCACGAAAGTGCATCGGCTCAAGTTGACACATTTCACACAGAGAACAGGTGGATGGAAAATAAGTGACATTAAAGTAGACAAAAAGATCATGAAAGACAACAAAGTGAATATATTCGCACTATTGACTAATTTTCAGCTATATCACTAAAGTTCAACCATTCATTCCAATCTTCTCAACGACCCATGCTAGGCAGTTTACACTGCTCAGAGACTTTGTCGGTGTCCTGGTCTGGCTACTATAGGCCTTATTTCAACCCAATCCTACTTCGGCTGACACTATATCGAAGTAAGGGGTGGCCCGACATACGCAACACATGTCCGAGCATCGTCAGTCACTGGAGATTCACAACCTTATTGATTGACTTGCCACCCTATGCCTAGTAACCTTCACGTAATCTCGACGTTACTCACACGATGATTCTACCATACGCCAACACTGCAGCGGAGAAACTTGTGATCGAGAACCTTCAGTCTCTTGATATCTTCTACTTTCAATGGCCATGCCGTACAGGCGTAGAACGTGACAGAAGGGACTGCACAGCAGTAAACTCATGCATCAACAGTAGTCGGATATCTTACCAGTCGCAGGCACATATGACGCAAGTTGACAACTGACAAACGGGCTTTCTGTATCCGAGCTGAGATTTTGTCAGCAAACAGTTCAAGCTGATACAATCCCCCAAGTAAGCGAAATAGTCAAGATATTCTACCATCTTACTCCCCATCATTAAACTGGAAGTAGCTGGAGACCACTCCTGAAGCCCCATCTTATGTTTGACAGATGAGAAATACATGCCAAACACACATTCCTGCTCAACACGTTCAGAAGACGCTATATTTTGTCAGCATCACCTGTCAGGAAAATGTTGTCTGCTTGTTCCAAGTCAAATAGGTATCCTCCGAAGAGTACACCAATCCCTGTAAAGTCGGAGGTACTTAAGGTTATGTCCATCAGCATGTTTATAACGAAGCGGAACAGGAACGGTGGCAACGAGCGTTCCGGGTGGACACCACTAGTTGTCATTATTTCAGACAGTAACTCTCCACATATCCTTACACTGCTGCCTGAGTGAGCTTTGATTAGCGCTATATACTTACTCGGTACGCCTTTCACAATCAGATACTGCAGTACCACTTCTCAGTCGAGAGTTGAATATCGCCTACAGGTCAAAAAATATGAATGGATTACCAAGATGTAGAGGTAAAGAGTACTACTGAAGATGTTCTGACTTCGAGAAAACCTTTCAAAATGCAAATCGTTTGGATTCATTGGTATAATAAATATCGTTGTTTTTATCTAATTCGCTATGATTGGAGCAAGACAGGATGTATTAGGAAAGTTTATAGCTCTAGAAGGTGTCATCTAGTTAACAACTCTAAACAGAAGTACGCTGTATCAAAAACTGAGAAATCTGTTTACATCACTTCCTCAAGCTACAAAGTTTCATTCAGTTGAGTGTTCATCATAAAATGATAATATTTATTCTGATTTTGCATTGGATACGAGCAGCCATGATTTATTTATACTTTATAGTGAATTAAAAATTTCTCGATCAGCTGATGTTCAACAAACAGCTGTTTTCAATTATGAAATTATAGACCAACACCATCATACACTTGGTAGTTATCTTATTTCAAGTTGCATGGCTCAGCATACTTCAACATCGAAGGCAACCCTAAAATTTAGCACAAAATGATTACTGTCTACCCATTGGAAATCGACTCTAGTCGATACTTGTTATCAACACCAAAACTATCAATACGCCTACATCGTGAAGTGCTTCAATAGCTGATAGAAATTTGGCTATTATGTATCCTAATGAAAGAAGTTTTACAATTTTTTCAGGCAAATATGACTATGTGAAAAAATGCAGTTTAAATAAGATGACTCTAAATTAGTAAGAGTGAGGTATATGTTGGAAAAAGTCGGTTATTATGTCAATATTCTGTTGAAATCGTTAACATGAAGAAATTTAACGACCATTCCCATATATGATGGGAGGAGGGAACTTACAGGAACTTCAACATCCAGACTCCGTTGTCTTCCAAAGATTCATGAAGAGGAAGTACCAATCAGACCAATATTTGATGCATTCAACTCTCCGTATCATACTATTGCTAAATGGTTAGCTAAGACCAGTGAAGCGAACAATATATAAGTAAGGCATGAATAAAGTGTTTGAGTTCATTGATCGAAATGTTCAAGATAAAACTATGTCGTCATTAGATGTAAACTCATTATGTATACATGTCTCAATTTGGGTAAAACTTGAATGTATGCATGACAAATAAGATTACCATAAATCTACCACTAAAAGAATTGAAGAACCTATTTTCACGGCGCACAACGAATGCGAATTTCGCGTTTAACGGATGAATATAAACAACTAGATAGATTCACCTCTTGAAACATAAATAATCAATGTGATCATGACTCCATTAGAGAATACCAAATTCCAGTAAAGCATGAAGACAATAGACTTGTATTGCCATTACGTGGAAGACAAACTCATCTTGTATGCAAACGACAAATACATAGATACCTTATTAGTGGAATTTGATAACAATCACAGTCTGGTCAGATTTATTTCTGAGCTCGAAATGAAGACCAGATTTCCTTATGGTATGTCTTGTTAAGTAGAAGATAAAAAGGGAAACAAGGCAGATCAGTTCAAAGAGCTCGAATATACTGGGCAATACACAAATTTCTATAGCTTCGTCTCATTCTGGTGGAAGAATTCGGTGTATCGTTTAACCATGAAGGTTGGCGAGATATGCTCTGATGACGCATTGAGTAATGAAATAGAGCTTAGAAATACACAGAGATAATGGTTGTATAGATAAGCTGGTCAAGATGAATATGATGGGTCAGGGACGAAAAAGTCATTATTTTTGACTCTGAAGAAAATGAGAGACATGGTCTCAGAAAAACTGATCAGTCACTTGTGAAGCAGCCTAAGAAATGTTTATCTAACAGCCATGCTTGAAACAGGCTTCACCAAAAAAGCTGTTCTTCCTTTGAGTTGAAAAGGTGCAGTTACTTAGTTATCCGAATCAGTGTGTATGTATAAAATAAAATATTCACGTCGAGCAGGTCATATTGAATGTACTATGAAGACTCTTTCTAAGCGCACAAAGGAAAATTTACCAGTGTGGTGTTTGATGGAGAAGTGAACACAATCACTAGCTACATACATAATTACATCACTTTCCATAGTACACCCGATCCAAAATGGACTATTACACAAGTTCCCTCCCCTAGTGTCCTCCATAAAAGTTATGGGAACGAAACTACGAGTACAAATGTCTATCCAATTACTCACTTTTCCTTGACTGTGCTATGTCTTTACTGTGGCATAACTGTCTGAACCTTACTGACTGCGTTATGTTAATAATAACTAATTGGTGCTTGCGTACGCGTTCGTTTCCATTTCTGATAACATTTTATCACGTAATTTACTAGTCCTACTACAATCCCCCCCGTTTTGATTCTATTTCAACTTCAAATCTATTTATGAATTACCTGTCACATGTTTCAGCCACTTAGATTTTACTTTATACCATTCGTGAATACCTCATCGTGCAACATGAACTCCAAATCTGACTTATTGTATGTACATCCATCGTTTATGTTGCTATTGACGCTCAATGTGTGCTTTAATGTACGAGATATCCACACTTAAATGTTAACCTTAGTAAGATTTTAAGGGAAATACTTATTCGCTAACACAAAACGTCTTTTTAGTGTTATGATGGGAATATTCCAGGAGTTTAAAAATTGATTTAGTTTGAAGACCAATTACATCTTGGATTAAAAGCTATTTATTCCTAATCTGACAATAACTGACCTGATCCAGTTCATGTTATTCCCCTGTTTTAGCTGAAAATTGATATACAGATGCGACAAGGACAAGCTGCCACTTTAGGCCATCTCAATGTGGATATACAAAATTACTTGCTGCTGTGGAGGTAGTTATATCAACCATATGAAATGTATACTTTCCAAACACATTTCGGGGCATTATTCTGTTTACTTATAAAAGGGAGAATGGAAATCAATATATACTTACATACCTTAACATCTGGTTACTTCCAAAGTAGTATTCTACGATTGTCTACAAAGTCAAACGAAACGGTTCTAAAAGCTCATAACTTCACCTGTACACAGTGTGGGAATCGGTGATTCACCCAGTCCAAGTCTGATCTTCATATGACAAATGAAACTACACAATCTCCGATTGTCTTGGCGTTGATCATCCTTCCTTTTACTTTTCTAATTTTATCGTTTATCATCATTATAGTCCTTGTTTCTTTCCTACTGCGTCAAAGTAAACACTTAGGTATGCTAAGTTACATTTAGAAACAATCTACACCTGATCAAATTCCATATTTCTCTTATTCCGCTCACCACTCTATGGATTATTACGTAAGCTTTTGTGCACTTACACTCAATTTTTGTTCGACTCTGTATTATCAGCGGTGAGACTACTACTTCTTGCCAGTGATTATAAATACGCGTGTTTGAATCTCACATCAGTTCCCTTGAGGTTGCAGATATACCTCACTGATAAATGCCAACGAGTATGAAACTTAAGTTCAGTGTTTCCCGCCAACCGCCTCTAACCAACTGACATCCATCAAAATGCACAGCAATGATAAGTCTCCTAGCTTGGTGGACACATTGCAAACTGATCGATAGAATTCGGTCAGCAGTCAGGATTAGACAACACTAATTTGGTTACTCTCCAGTGACTAGTCAATGTAAATACCATTTTACAGTTTCAATGAATGACATCGTAAAAAAGGAAATATTTTCTTCGTTGAAGTGTCTCTTGTAGCACATGATAAAAGATCACAGGGGGCGGGGCACTAAATATAGATGATAACGATGGTGTTGGATTCACTTATGAAAACTATATGAAAAACTAATAGTAGTTTATCAATATAGAGAAGTCTTCTTACATATGGATACAAAACACTGTATTCAGTCTGAACAACAGATTTACAAGACATTTACACATTCGGTCAAAAATTGACATAAAGTCAGTACAAAATCACAACTAACTCCTGAGAAGAAGCATTTTAAGCCTGCTTTTGTTTTCCACCAGGGGGTCGTGATGCTTTGGAAGCTTTTTTGCGTGTACTATTCAGGTGATTTTTCGTAGGAGTATTGACAACATTTTTGGTGTCCTTTTTCATATGAAGTGAAATAGTTCTAATCGGGACAGATTCCGTAATCAATCCAATTAGTAGTAACAGATGACATGCGTGTAGCAGACCACTACTCCAACTTGTTGATGGATAAGTGTTCCAACAGATTTCAATGAGGCCAAGAATTAACAACCTATAAGTAGAAAAATATAAGCAAACTGATATCGACAACTGTGGGAAAGAAAATTAAATGAACTTGGAAAAAAACATGTAGTGAAGTTAGATTTGAATCAGGAAGCTCCATCACTCTGCTAGGTAAGTTGGAAGAGCTAACATGACACCTCGGTTTCATTTTAAGTCAGGTATTATGCTACTTGTTTGTCATTCAAGTGATAGGAATGCATCCATGAGCAGCGATAATCTAGAAGAATATGCTGATTTCAGAAACTATGCTTGGTAACACTAAAGTCGTGGCAATTTATATTCACGAAGATAAGTTAGGACTTTTATCACATGTTTAGCTCATAAATATGCTTTCACAGGGTGCTGAATTAAAACACTGCATCGATATTGAGGTGGTGACTAGTGTGTTAGGGGCGAAAACGCTTATTTCATCCAATTCACAACTTATTATCAAGATACATTTGCACCTATTATTTATTAGTCCCTTGGGTTCCTAATGGAACATAGGGCTTCAGTAGCACGCCTCCAGTGACCTCTGTTCTCTGCAGTCTTTCGAACCTTGCTCCACGACTGCCCACAAGCTCTCATTTCCTCCTCGCACAATCTCCTCCATGTCACCCTCACCTCGGACACCCAACTCGTCGCTTCCCATGGGGATTCCACCCGAGGGCCTGGCCTGACGCGTGATGTCCCCAGTCGGCCCTCTCAGTGCATGCCCAATCCATCTCCACTTCCTCCTGCATATTTGTTGGGTGATAGGTTCTTGGTTGGTTCGTTCCCAGAGCTCCTTGTTGCTTATTCTTATTATTCTGGGCATCTGATCTTCAGTAGCAAGCGTAAGCAGTTGTTGATGAATGTCTGTAGTTTGTTGGAAATCCCTTTCGTAACGCGCCAAGTCTCTGAACCATATAGCAGCACTGACTTGACGTTGGTGTTGAAAATCCGGATCTTATTCCGCATGCTGAGTGCAGAAGATCTCCACACTGGTTTCAGGCTAATGAACGCCTGTCTTGCTTTTCCCATTCTGACTTTGACATCCTCGTCTGTCCCACCTGTAGTTGAAACAATGCTGCCTAGTTGGTATTATCCTTTTTATTCAAATTTGAAAATAGCACTAATCACTTGGCAAAGCTACGCTTTGTTATGTGTAAAAGATATTAGCTATTAGTAGGACTTGTTGTATCCACACGGTTGATTCACCTAGCTGGATCACTCAATATGTTTTTATGTGTGATGTACAAATGAGAAGGGTTTAAAAGAAATCTATATATCAGATACAGACAAAACAGGCTGTTAACTCATAAATGCGACGAAATTCACATTTTTGTCTCCACATCTCATCATCTTCCGCGTTAAGACATCTATGCAAGAAGTTCATGCTCCAATAAATACTGATCAAATCAAGTTTTCAAATGTTTGTGCAAATGACAAGTCTTATCAGTGGTTTACACATTAATTCACATTCCATTGCCCTACATTTCTAATCCGGTAAAAATTGTTTGAACATATGAAATGAGTGTAATTAAGAAACTTTAATTAGTCATGATGAACAATGCACTTTAGCCTTCTAGGTTTTTCATGGGTGCTATCTTAATCGATAAATCCACCAGCATATCCCTTGGTAATTTCATGTTGTTTGTCAATTTCCTCATGCACTGTTGAGTCATTTTAACAACTTTTTTCTCTCTGGAATTTCATATGTTTGATTTCTTTGATAGGTTTGAACCAAGCCAGAAAAACTAGATTTGCAGAATACAATGACATTGTTTTATTTCATAGATATTCATTACCAACATGCCAACTAAAATTACGATAGTTGCTAGGACAAAGTGATATAACCACATAATTTAAATACAAATTTTAATTGGTAGCATATAAGATGATGTAAAATTGGAGGGTACAAAGCGTTAAGAAAGCGAAAAACCCTACACTGTACATCAAAATTATTGTTGGTTTATATGTTCTGGAATAGAAGGTTTGAGAATTGCGGAGACGAGTAAGGAATAGAAGAAAATGAACAAATAATATTGCCTAACCGAGAACTGTTTGCAGATTTCTTCGCACTCAACGATCTGGTGATTGAAGGCAGTGTGTACAAACACAGGGATATTCACAAAGTGACATGGACTTCACCAAGTGGACGCACTAAAAATCAGATCGACTTCATCTTAATGTGAAGAAAGTGGAGACGCAACCTACTGGACACAAGATGAAGGGGAGGAGACCACTATCTTGTGCAAGGACCCTCCCAAACTAGGTTGAAAGCCTTCAAAGAAGTTGGTGATAGACCACAGTGCACGTTCAACACCCAGAAACTAAAGGACGAAACTACAAAGGACATCTTCATGTCAGCCAGTCATCAGGAAAAAATGGGAGACATTGAGCAACATCCCTGAAAGAACCAGCGTGGAAGAACACTAGAACTCTTTGAAAGAGATGTGGTGGGAAACCTGTATAACCGTGTTAGAAAAGAAGAGGGAACAAGACAAGGAATGGATCTCGAAGGATATATGGAAGCTGATAGAGGAGAGGAAGATGGTGAGACAGAGGATGAACCAGTGCAAGGATGCACAATGAAGAGAAGAACTGAGTACAACGTATAAAACAGTGGACAAAGAAGTGAAGAAGAGTTCACATAGAGACAAAAGACACTTCTACGACACACTTACAAGTGAAGTAGAACAGGCTGCTGGTAGGAGAGACCTGAGAACACTGTATCAAATAACCACTATCTGGCAAGAGATCAACAAAGATGAAACCAAAGAAATATAGTGAAGGAAACTTATTTACCACCAAAGAGGAGAAACAAAGGAAACAATTAGCTGACCACTTCAAAATACTCTCGAATCGACCACCATCACCACCTGCAACTCGTCTAGAAACACCACCAGCAGCCCCACCACAGAACTATCAGTGAACACAAACCCTCCGACAGAAGCCGAAGTAAAGTCGTGAACGCCATAAAGCTACTGAAAGCCGGGAAGGCAGTAGGACCAGATGGAATTCCTCCAGAAGCACTGAGAACAGACGCAGAGACAACAGTGGACATGCTTACACTACTATTGCAGAAGGTTTGGAAGGAAGGAAAGGTACCTGCCGAGTGGAAGAAGGGCTACCTTGCCAAACTCCTAAAGAAAGGTGAATAAGGTCTTCACAAGAACTAGAGCAGAATCAAGCCCCTGTCCACCCCAAGCAAAATATTAAGCCGCATCATCCTAGTGAGACTGAAGAATGCGTTGCATTCAAAATTACGACTGGAACAGGCTGGCTTCAGGAAGAAAAAATCATGTGCGGATCAAATTGCTACACTACGCATCATCATTGAACAGAGTATAGAATGGCAGTCAACTCTCTACCTCAACTTTATCGACTTTGAAGAGGCCTTCGACAGCGTCGATCGAGAAGTAATTTGGGAGCCAGCTGCTTCAACACTACGCTTTTCGTGCCACAAACCTTTATGAACCTTATTCAACAGCTATATGAAAACGCCACATGCCAAGTGATCCACAAGGGGAAGCTCAGTGACGCCTACTATCACCCATGATCTTCCTGATTGTGGTGGACTGGATCATGCAGCAAGCTGTGAGGAGTGAGAAGATGGGCATACGCTAGACCAATAAGAAGGATTTCGCCGATAATTTATGTTTAATGTCGCACAAACTTGAAGATCTACAGGCGAAAACTAACAAGTTGACAGAAGAGACAGCGAAAACGGGACTTCAAGTGAATGTAGGGAAGACAGAGGTGATGAAGGTACCCAACTTACAACAAGCACCAATCACCATCAACGGAAGAAACCTAAAGGAAGTAGTCTTTTTCACCTATCTACCTAGGCAGGTAGCATCGTTTCAACTATAGGCGGCGGCACAGACAAGGATGTCAAAGCCAGGATCGGAAAAGCAAGACAGGCCTTCAATTATTTGAAACCAGTGTGGAAATCTACTGCACTCAAAACAAAGAACAAGATCCGAATTTTTAACACCAATGTCAAGTCAGTGCTGCTATATGGTTCAGAAACTTGGCACGTCACGGAAAGCACTTCCAACAAACTGCAAACATCAACAGCTGCCTACGCTCATTCGATACTGAAGATCAGATGCCCAGAATAATAAGAATAAGCAACAAGGAACTCTGGGAACGAGCCAATCAAGAACCTGTCACCCAACAAGTATACAGAAGAAAGTGGAAATGGATTGGGCATGCACTGAGAAGGTCGATTGGGGATATCACGCGCCAGGCCAGGCCTTCGAGTGGAATCCCCATGGGAAGCGACGAGTTGAACATCCGAGGGTGACATGGAGGAGATCATGTGAGGAAGAAATGAAAGCTTGTGGGCAGTCGTGGAGCAAGGTTCAAAAGACTGCAGAGAACAGAGGTCACTGGAGGCGTGCTACTGAAGCCCTATGTTCCACTAGGAACCCAAGGGAAAACTAATAATAATAATAACAGATTGCGCAAAATGAGAAAAAAACAACTTTAAGTCAAAATGAAACAAGATTAAAGTACGATGTACTCCATTTCAGTTGATTTACTAGGTGCAACATAGTAGAACAATATTTTTTACTGGATTACTACGTTTCGAACACAATTTATTGCTCATAATCATATCAAGATAACTCCAGTTTTGTGACATGGTTTATATGGCTCTAATTTTCACGCCCCCATTTGCGATATGGGTAGTAGCATCTGCTATATGTCCGGAACAGGTGCTGAGTCATTCTCCTGTTGCATGTGTTAGGTGTTGATTCGATAAACAAAGATTCCGTTATTAATCTCTTCCTCCACCCCAGTAGGCTTAGTTTTAAGAATTTTCACGCTATTCTATCCTATTGCGTAGCTGCGTGCGTAACAACGGTAGAACTTTTTCTAAAATCATTGTCTTACTAAGATCTACTAATTCATTCACTGTTATTATTATCATTATTACGAGACAAGAAAAAGAAAGCAACAACAATAAGACGACGATGCTCAGTAAATTCATCCTATGAGTTAAGTTACGGGAGTAAACAGGAACCCATCATAAAATAATAAAAAACCCAGGTGACCTGAGAAATATGACCTTAGCTTCACTTTTAAAAACTAAACTGTTAAACAATAAAATGCTGTTCAGCATGCTTAAAAGAAAAGAATCAATTAGCATATGAATGACACAATCAGACACCATCTTTGAAACTGAATTTTGCCTTTTTTATGGCATCCGTCATCAATTACCATATATCAACTGTGCAACAAAAAATTCTCCCACAATGTATGCTCGGTCACTGATAAGGATTCAGATATATATGGCACAATTAGTGAAGAATTGCCTATCTTTCTGTTCTCTTGCCTATATTTCATTGAACTGGATGGTGCATGCAACTTCAAATACATGAATTGACCAGTGCACTGTACCACTTCAACTTGCATTATTGAAATAAGGTTCGATGCACACCAGTCTCTTGACATCTTTTACTTTCAGCGACCATGCCATACAGACGTATAACAGGACAGAATGAATTACGAAGCAGTCAACTCGTTCTTCAGTAGGTAGTCGGATATCTCATCAGTCGGCGTAAGATATGATGCAAGTCGACAACTGTCAAACGGGGCTTTTGTAACTGAGCCAAGATGTCGTCAGCAAACAGATAGTTCAGGCTGATGCAACTCCTCAAGTAAGTAAAGCAGTCAAACCATACCACCAATTTACTCCCTACCATTAAACTGGAAGTAGCTGCAGATCAGTCCTGAAGCATCATTTTACATATTACAGGTGGGAAACGTACGGCAAACATACTCGAATTTTTGCTCCACGTTTAGAAGATCCTGCGTTTTTCAGCGTCTTCATCTGACAGGATAATGCCATCTGAGTACTCCAAGTTAACCAAGTTTCCTTCAGAGAGTACATCAATCCCTTTAAAGTCAGACATACTTACGGTTATATCCATCACTACGTCTATAACGAAGTTGAACAGGAACAGCTGGCATTCTTGGTGCACTTCACTGGTTGTCAACAACTCAAATGAATAACTCTCCATAAACCCTTACACTGATGCGTGAGTGTGAGCAGTGAGCTTTGATTAGCGTTACACACTTGCTCGATACTCCACAGCCAGAGACTGTTAATATCTCACGGTCGACAGGGTTGAATGGCACCTTCAGGGCAAGAAATATGGAATATCGGCCACCGGAATTAGGCCTATATTTCCGAACCTGTCAAAGAGTGAAGATCTGATCGACGCACTTTCGTTCAGATCTGAAACCTGCCTAGTTTTCTCGAGCTCCATTTAGGGGTTGGATAACTATGGATCCTAGGATCCTGGACGCGATGTTAGTTAAACTGATTTCCATATGGTTGGCACACAAAGATTTTTCTCCCTCCTTATAAAGTGGCGTGATCAGCGAAGTACAGTAGCCCGATGTCACCACCTATGATTGCTACACACTACCTAGTGCCTCTGTTACTCTAATCAGGAATTTCTTACCATCATCTTCAAATACCTGGGGTGGAAAACCGTCACGTCCTGCAGATTTTCCTGGTTTTAGCATAGAAACACCCTTATCAACCTTGGAGAGAATTGGAGGACCGACATCTACATTCCATTCAGGTTCGGGCTGGATGCTAGCCATCTGAGGCGTTGCTGTGGGCCAGTTGAACTGTGCTTCAAAGTGCACCGTCCAATATTTCAGTCGTTTGTCCTGAGACCATCAGCGTCCCATCCTTTTCAGTGATGACATCACTAACCATCATCTTTCTCTTGCCAGTATTCCTAATAAGGCAAAATAACTGTTCAGCATTACCTATTGCTGATGCCTTCTCCGTTTCTCTAGCTGTCGCCACCCATCCCTGCTCACAATCATTACGAAGACTCTTGGTCAATCTATGCTTAGGTTGCTTTCGCTCTTCATTGTGGTCAGAGTCAGCTGGAATGAGTCTTCTGGCGACAATCAGTTCGGATGACGTTGTGAAAATCCATTTACGTTTGCTGACCTTTTGATGTAGGTTACCAACCATCTTTACTCCTTTTTCCACAGCAGACTTATTATCACGCCAGGCGTCCTTGAGAAGAGAATTGCTGCCATGTGAGAATAAACGCTTAACTATCCTCTTACGAAAATGCAAAGCTGATATTCTCATCTTCCAATTGAGCACACAGAGGCTTCACTGCTGCGTTTCCTGAGATCCAGTAGAGTGCCAACATACATGGGTTAGTACTAACGTGCAGTCGAAATCTAAACAGGTACTTCAGAAAGAGCGGCAAACCTCCACTGATCCTTTCCTTATGCTTGAAGTTATTGCTGGCCATAAACAAGAAATTGTCAGAAACTGAACACTTTTACAACCTAAAAATATTACAGCACAGGATAATCTAGAGGATAATTTCCATGTACTTTAAAGGAAGGTAGTCTGATAACTACAGTCATATGGATAAAGTTCGGTATGATAACTAGATAATAAGGATGACATTCACTAACAGGCACAAACGTTAAACCGTTTCCTATACATTTTTCCTCAGCCCTAACTAGTGGAAAAACAGCCACTAAATTGCATAAATTATTATCGCAACGAAAGTAGGTGAAACTATGCTGTAGATCTCATATGTTAATAAACTTCAGAGTTAATCAAGAATATTTGTAGCTCAAAGGACACTGAATTACAGTCATAGTGGATGAGAAAAGAATCGAAAAATAATTTAAAACATTCAACAGACATCAGCAGAAAGAGACAATAACCAATAGTAGCAAAAGAGGATAATAACTGCTATACAATGTTTTGGTACAGGATTTAGAAATTCGAATCCAGGAAAATAAAAAAATAAGTAAACGTAGTTGATCAGTGAGGAAATAAAACTGTATTTAGCAAGGTTGTTGATTATACTAGACTAATCTAAGACGCTAGCACCTATAATCAACTTGCTTAACACAGTCGGCTATACTGTGTGGCAGTGAGCTATCTTTTAATGAATGACTTTGAAAGGCATAATTGCCTAATAAGAGTGTTTAGAAGATATAGTATTATCTTTTACAATGCTTTCATTAAAACAGACCAAACTTTTTAAAAAACCGCTTCAAATACGGCAGTGAAACAATGTACACATTGATACGTCTACCAAAAGATTGATAATACTCACCGAACAGGAGTAGAAAAGCGTTTAACACACCACAATAAATATGGGATTGTATGAAAATACCAAACGTAGAACTGATAATGTAACGAACGACTGACAACAATACCAACGAAATTTGACAGAAACAATGGATATATTATAGCTAAATTTTAAAAAATAGATCAAAACCAGATAAAAGGAACAAAAAACTTGAAACCAATTATTAACTGAAGTGAACAAAATTGGCACTGTAACGCCAACATAGATAAATCCGTCAAATATAACCCAAATCTTATTCTCCATAAAATGTCGGCAGTGCAAATAGGTGAAAAAATATGACTCACTGGCTTACAATCAATGGGTGTTAGGTTCAAACCTAACTCAACCAACTTGAGTTTGAGCAACTAGGTAGCATCATAAGTGTGATCCAAAGTTTAGCGCATAGACACTTGCACCACATTCAGCTGGATAATTTTTAAATTGATGTGAATATAATAAGTGGTCAGTATCTCCTCTAACTGTGAACAAAACTGAGCGAACAACTTGATATAAAACCAAATTTTTAAAGCGAAAAAGGTAAATCCTGAAATTTCTATTGTCGAAAATATAGATTTATGTATGCACCAAGTTGTCAGTTAAATCCATTATGTATTTCAAACAAAAAGTATGGACCAGTCACTGAATCTTAAATAGGTCGGGTGAATTTACGTTTATTGATCGAATGACCGCCTGATGACTAACAATAAACTAGTCAGACAACTGAATCATAGCTCTACTTGAGTTCATAAATGTTTTTTCTACTCACCTTCATATATACTCGACGATTAGGAAAATAAAATAGGAGTTATACGAATCAATATTCTTTGTTGACGAGTATTTATTCAGCTGTGAACAAGTATAGAACTGTTGACTTATCTATGAAATGACAATAACGAACATATCCAAACAGGACCGTATGAAGCGATCAAGAAACCTATGAATGCTGTCATGAATAAGGTTAAGAAATCTACAGATGATCTGATACGCTAACTTATGCCACCTTTGAGTGGGTCCAAATGGTTTAATTTGATGCCTAAAACCAATAATCCCAACAGTATTTATGATACTATTAAAGTTCATAGGCCGATATTTGCCTTCAGGAATACCACTAACATATGCGCTGTCGCTATTATGCCCAATTAGAAACAGTTCAAATCCCAGACTAGTCAATTCTTATGAGTTAACCTGAGCGAACTAGACAAAATAGTTTGGTTTACCAAATATTGTTTAATCACCGGTCAAATATATAGGTTACACTAGCCGATCGAGGTCAGTTTGATTATCGCAGTATAAGAAGTTAGAAAAGTGTAGCATGATAGACCCAACTAAGGTGAATAGTCTAGAAAAAACTCAGCTATTGCAATGCATGCCTTAACACACAACAAGGTGGGATAAAGCGACTGTACTTGGGTTCGATATGGTTAGGTGGAGAGACAGAGAGAGCTTGATTACTGAATTTTGAGAATAAATAATCAACGATAGCATTGGATAAAGGTTACACTATATCGTGAATTGACAGAAACTGTGGACGATTAGATTCCTAACCAGTGGCTCAATGGCAATGTGCTGGCCTCAAAAGCTGAAGGTTCTGGGTTCGACGCCTGGCGGGGTCATGAGTGGGCACTGCTGAGAAGTTCCATACCAGGCTGAAAAAGTTGCCCGGTACTCCCAGTTTTTCAGTGGTACTTCAACCGATGTCAGTCCACGATAAATACCAACTTAAACACGAATTTGTTGACTAAAGTATTTAGTTTTTTATAATGTACAAGACAGTAGAAAGTAGGTTGCGCTACATCGTCAGTTGACTGAAACTGGAAATATAAACCATTTAACTCATGAACAGTGTTCTAAAGATCGAAAAGCTAGCCGGTGATGATGATTCAATGTTGAATAAAGTGATGAATGTATATTGTTAACGAAATCAGAAAAAGAACAGGACAGCGGTTATCAATTCGATTATTCCCAAATGGTTGTTTGAATTTACTTGCAGGTGTTTTGCATAAATAAATAAGAGCGAAATATATACATTTCATGTAGTCATATAAACCTCGCCTGGTTAACTAGTTTACTAGTTACTAGCCGGTCCTAAGCCCGGGTAAAGAGGGAAGGTTGGGCATAGGGCTAGCAACCCTACCCCGTAAAACAAATCTAACCGCTAAAGAAACTTCAAAGCACAAACAAAATATAAAAAATGAAAACAAACTTATTCCCCGCTGGAATCGGAGAGGCGAAATGACGCCAGTTGGTGAAAGCCTTCGGGAAGCCAATTGGCCGATGTGTCTTCTCTCGATGAAAGCGAAAGTAAACGTGGGGACATGGAATGTCCGCACGATGTTTGAACCCAGTAAGGCAGCCCAGATTGCAAAGGAGATGAGAAGGTATAACATCGAAGTGCTTGGGATTTGCGAAAGCAGATGGAATGGGAGTGGACTCTCCAAACTGTCAACTGGAGAATCAATAATCTACTCCGGTCACCCAGACGCCAACCACGAGCACACTGAGGGAGTGGCTATCATGATGTCCTCAAGAGCATCGAAGGCTCTCATGCAGTGGGAACCAATCTCCTCCAGGATCATGACAGCAAGATTCAACTCAAAAGGAAGAAAGGTCACAATCATACAATGTTATGCACCTACAAATAATGCAGAGCAAGAGAAAAAGGAGGAATTCTACAGACAACTTCAATCAACACTGGACAAGACGTCAGTTGGCGATATCAAAATTCTAATGGGCGACATGAATGCCAAACTGGGAGGGGACAACACGGGAAGAGAACTAACCATGGGTCGAGAGGCACTAGGTGAAATGAATGAGAATGGAGAATTGTTTGCAGAATTCTGCGCATTCAACGATTTGGTGATTGGAGGCAGTGTGTTCAGGCACAAAGATATCCACAAAGCGACATGGATTTCACCAGATGGACACACTAAAAATCAAATCGACTTTATCTCAATCTCAAGAAAATGGAGACGCAGTCTACTTAACACAAGGTCAAGAAGAGGAGCAGATGTAGGTTCAGACCACTACCTAGTGCAAGGAACCTTCCAAATCAAGTTAAAAGCCTTCAAGGAAGCTGGTGATAGACCTCAACCCAAGTACAACACTCGGAAACTGAAGGATGAAACTACAAAGGAGATCTTCAAGGCAGCCATCAAGACAAAATGGGAGACGTCGAGGGACATCCCTGAAGAAACCTGTGTGGAAGAACACTGGAAGTCTTTGAAAGCTATGTGGAAAGAAACCTGCACAACAGTATTAGGAAGGAAGAAGAAAGAAGACAAGGAATGGATCTCGACGGATACCTGGAAGCTGATAGAGGAGAGGAGGATGGTGAAGCAGAAGATAAACCAGTGCAAGGATGCTCAACGACAAGAGGAACTGAGCACAATGTATAAAACACTGGACAAAGAAGTGAAGAAGAGTGCACGCAAAGACAAAAGACACTTCTACGAAACACTGGCAAGTGAAGCAGAACAGGCTGCAGGTAAGAGAGACCTGACGACATTGTATCAAATAACCAGGTTGCTATCAGGGAAGAGACCAACACAGATGAAACCAATAAAAGATGAAGAAGGAAATTTAATTACGAAAGAAGAGAAACAGAGGAAACGATGGGCCGACCACTTCAAGAAGCTCTTGAATCGACCACCACCTGCACTTCGTCCAGAAATACCACCTGCAGCCGCTGAACTACAAGTGAACATTAATCCCCCAACGAAAATGGAAGTCCTGAACGCCATAAAGCTACTGAAATGCGGGAAAGCAGCAGGACCAGATGGAATACCGCCAGAAGCACTGAAAACAGATGCAGAGACAACAGCGGCCATGCTCACACCACTATTGCAGAAGGTGTGGAAGGAAGAGAAGGTACCTGACGATTGGAAGAAGGGTTACCTTGTCAAACTGCCGAAGAAGGGAGACCTCAGTGCTTGCAAGAACTGGCGCGGAATCACTCTCCTGTCCACCCCAAGTAAAATATTAAGCCGCATCATCCTGGAGAGGCTAAGGGATGCACTGGATTCAAAACTACGACCGGAACAGGCAGGCTTCAGGAAGTACAAATCATGTGCAGACCAAATTGCAACGCTTCGTATCATCATAGAACAGAGCATAGAATGGCAATCACCTCTCCACCTCAACTTCATCGACTTTGAGAAGGCCTTTGACAGCGTCGACCGAGAAGTAATTTGGAAACTGCTTCAATACTACGGAGTACCGCAAACCTTTATCCGCCTCATTCAACAACTATATGAAGATGCTACATGCCAAGTAATCCACAATGGGAAGCTCAGTGATGCCTTTGAAGTGAAGACAGGAGTGAAACAAGGTTGCCTACTATCCCCCATGATATTCCTTATTGTGGTGGACTGGATCATGCAGCAAACAGTAGGCAGCGAGAAGAGGGGGATACACTGGACGACGGAAAAGAACCTAGAAGACTTGGATTTCGCCGATGACTTATGCCTAATGTCACATAAACTTGAAGATCTGCAGGCAAAAACTAACAAGTTGATAGAAGAGGCAGCGAAGACGGGACTTCAGGTGAATATAGAGAAGACAGAAGTGATGAAGATACCGCACCACCACCATCAACAACAACAACAACAAACTCCAATCACCGTCAACGGGAGAAACTTAAAGGAAGTAACCTCCTTCACTTATCTAGGAAGCACTGTTTCAACTACAGGCGGGACGGACGAGGACGTCAAAGTCAGAATCGGAAAAGCAAGACAGGCGTTCATTAGCCTGAAACCAGTGTGGAGATCTTCTGCACTCAGCATGCGGAACAAGATACGGATTTTCAACACCAACGTCAAGTCAGTGCTCTTGTATGGCTCAGAGACTTGGCGCGTCACGAAAGGTATTTCCAATAAACTACAGACATTCATCAACAACTGCTTACGCTCGCTGCTGAAGATCAGATGGCCAGAAAAAATAAGCAACAAGGAACTCTGGGAACGAACCAACCAAGAACCTATCACGCAACAAATATGCAGGAAGAAGTGGAGATGGATTGGCCATGCACTGAGAAGGCCGACGGAGGACATCACGCGTCAGGCCCTCGAGTGGAATCCCCATGGGAAGCGACGAGTTGGACGTCCGAGGGTGACATGGAGGAGGTCGTGCGAGCAGGAAATGAGAGCTTCTGGGCTGTCGTGGGACCAGGTTCAAAAGATCTCAGAGAACAGAGGTCACTGGAGGCGTGCTGCTGAAGCCCTATGTTCCACTAGGAACCCAAGGGACTAATAATAATAATAATAATAATGTAGTCATATAAACGCTTAATACATATTTCATTAAAACACATAACTAATTCAGAATCATCATCATCAAGATCTTCATCAACAATACAAGATTAGTATTAATTACCTGTAGAATCTAACTTTGGATTACGTTCAGGATCGAAGACACAGAGGTAATTCAATAGACCACCACGAGATCTACAAAGCGAGAAAATATATAAATGATACATTGTTGAATGATATGAACAGTCAGATGCTAAAAAAGCTTATAAGATTACAGTAACCTAGTCACTAGACTACTGTTTTGTTCCAAGTGAGTTGACATCACTACTACTAGCAAGGGTGGACTAAGTCAGGAAAGCCATTTTACTCACACTAATTGGGAAAAACCTACAAACTAAAGAGGAAATCGTTTTTCATCCTCGACTCAATAAATTAAGCTTTCTGTTGTTTAAGCACCTCTAAACATGTATTTATTCTGATACAAAGACATTCTGAGTAACTAAGATTAATGTCTGGCATTGGATACTACCGTTAAACTGACACAAAAATCAATGATTTGGTTATCAGATCCTATAGTTCTTTAGCTACACTACCTTAAAAAGATGCCAGATCAGACCGAAACTGTAGGTGACAAGCTCAAACAGTTATATAGTATGGTTAACTCCGAAAAAAAGTGGAGTCGTAAAATAGTACATCAACCATTAGATAATTGCTAACTTGCCTGTGTACATGTTACAAACAAAGGACATTTTTATGCCTTTCATTTAATTAAGAATAAGGTGGAAAGAATGAATATATAGAGATAAATTATTGTCAGTTTGCGTTGTTCATATTTATATTTTCTTTAACTTGGTAGATCGACCGATGATGAGATTTAACTGTTACAGTACCGGCTGGACGGTTTCCTTTCTGAGGTTCTAAGAAAAGCATCTATCATCATTATTCGAAAAACTGCACGATGAAGCTATTCTTTGAGGAAAAGCTTCCGAGTATGATGAAGCATCACACTAAAATACACTTTACTTTATGTGATCAGTACTTTCAGTGACGCCGTTTTTTTAACTACCAAAAGGAACAGATGCAATACGTCAACCCCCGGAGAATGCTCTCTATAGCGTCATAGAATCCTGTCGTGAATACTCAGATCCTCTAAATACACAAAAAAATAAGGAACTTTATGTGGGATCAACAAATCCATCTCTTATAACAGCAATTCGAAATACAAACTGAATCTTTTGTGTTCACCAATTATTCAGTAAGAAATGACTTTCCTGACAGAAGATAGGTATGGAATATACTGCCTACTCTAATTTATGGTACTGGCTAAATTATACACATGGAAGATAGAGCAAAATCAAGGAGAAACCTCGCCCAGAACTGAATCAGTTCAACTTACTACACATCATAGCAACACAGAAAGAGGAAATGGATCGAAAAATAATGGTATTAAAGTAGACGAAGTATGTGAGAAGTCAGCAGATCAATATGAACATGGAAAGTGGCATTAGTGTGTAACGGATCAGACTGACAAATCTCACATCAGTATATCAAGATACAGAGCAACAAGAGGATGAAAATAGTATAAGAGAAAGTCATAAAAAGAGGGAATGAAGCAAATGATGAAGTACCTTATGATGGTTAAGACTGAAGTAAGGCATGAATGTATCTGGACTACTGATATCGATATCGGGTCATATAAAATTATTTTTCTAGCTAATGATTTCACTTTCATGGAGACTCTAACCTGTAGACCGAAATTTCATGACGGCTGTAACTAACAGTTGAAGATCTCATAGAGTGGTGCAATATTTTAGTCTGGCTATCCTTCGTTTTCTTCCAATTCCAGCTAGGATTACATATCAGAATAAGTTATGACTAGGATTACATATGTTTAAGGTACCTGAGCCGATGAGGGTTCTCAACCTCATCAACTAACTTACTTCTTTTACCTACGACTAAACACCTAATCACTGAGTCACTCGCATATTTGTTTTAGAAGATGCAGATATTGCTACGAGAGTAATTACGGTCAAAAGCCTGAAACCTCTGAATGTAATTAGCCATTAATATATTAAAACAAAGCAAACTACGGAGCAGCACACTTGACGCTTCATAGACAGTCGGATATCTTGTCAGCACCATCGCTGGTGCAAGGTAGCAAATGTCAAGTCAGCCTTTTGTATCTGTTCTGAGATTCCGATTGTCAATCACCCACCAGAATTGATCTAGCTCCCCAGGTAAGTGAAGTGACCAACTTCCTCATTCCCTATTGTTAGGAGAGGCACCAACATATACCAGCCCTTAAGTAAAAGTCTGCATCTGGGTGGTGAGAAATGCATTCCGAATATTCTCAAATTACCACTCAAGGTGTCCACACAAATCTGTATCTTCACCCAAGAGGAATATGTCATCTATGTACTCTAAGTCTACTAAGAAGTTTTCTGTGACAAAGTTATTCTTCATAATGCCAAACGGATAGACGGAGACCTCCATAAGAGTATTCATGACAAAATTATATAAAAATGTAGAGCGGATATCTTTGATGAGTAGTAATTAACGCATGTAACTCACCTGACACCTTATAGCAGGACCCAACATGCTCACGGGTGTTCGGATACACAGCTTTCAACAAGATGTGTTTGCACAGTAGTCTTTCCCACTGAGACAGTCATAATACCTCTCGACAGACGGAGTCAAATGGCGCCTTCAGACCAAGAAATACAACTAGTGTCGGAGGCTGGTAGGTGTTTGCATTCGAAGACCTGGAATAGAGTTACGATTAAGTCAATAAAGCCATGATCAGGTCTGAAACCTGCCAGGTTGTTTTGGATTAGCTTTTCACGAGCCTTACTCTTTGAGTAAAGCTGATTACTAAAGAACCTAGGCCGACTCCTATTCCTACAAGATTATTGCGCAAAAATTTTTCTTTTCTTGAAGACAGGGACAACCAGCGACTGAGACCAGTCAGAGAAGAGGGAATAAATGAAGATTAGTTAAAATCCTCAGACTCCCGAAGATAGAGAGGAAATACGTCTTCTCCATAATGACCTACTTTAGTCCATGTCACCTAAAATCCCAAACCACTGATTCCTATCATCTCGTGAACTACATAAAGGGCAGTCTACGCTTCCCTGCAGACAGACAAAAACTCGCACAAAAGTGCATCTGTTCAAGCTGACACACTTTAAAGAAGCATGCAAAGGAAAAGTAGACTTTAAAGTAGGCAAAATTATATAGGGGAATTTAAACATCAAAGGTTAGTGGAAATGAACAAACTTTCGAAGATGTCAAAAACTGAATGCATCTGTGCCATTATAACTGATTTTCAGCGATGGCACTTCCTTACAAAGCTCAGATTAACCATTGAAGACTTCACAGATTGGTGCCACAACTTGATTTAATCACCTAACTTTAGACTGACTTTATCCTGCTTCGGTTAACACCAGGTGTCGAAGTAGACAGGCTTGGAGTGCGCAACACATCCAAACTCTATCAGTCGATGCAGTTTCACAAGCTCATCTATTGCCTTTCCTGTCAAATACTCAGAAGCTAACTAAAAAACTGCGAATACGGCAGCCCCACTACACGCAAGTGATGTTACAAAGACATCTATGATCATTGACGTTATAGCTTTCTAATGTCTTCCACCTTCAAGTGTTATGTTCCACAGCTATACAACAGGACAGAGCGAACGGTTGAGTAGTATGTTTCTTTTTTAAAGCATGGCGTAAAAGCATTAAGATGGTGCTATAGAAAAGTGATATTAACTTATAACATTGTTCATTACTAGTTTGAACCAAATGGGGAAATGCAGGTTTGATAGCTGGGGCCCCCAGACCCAAACCGACTTTAGTAATGTAATTTCACTGACTCATTATTGTTATTATTATTGTCCTGTTTGTAGTGACCTTTTTCGTTTTATTTTGCAATGTCGTTTGAATAATATCTCTCTCTGTTGTTTCATTCGTCGATACTTTTTGTTACAATAACACTTAAGTCCATGCAGGAATATGGAGTATAAATTTAAGCTTCTAAATCTGTAACAACGACTCAGAGTTTATTCAGCAAGATAGGATATAAAGTATGTGTGAGTTTTATTTTGCTTGATAAAAGGGAAAGCCATGTGCAAATGATCACCACAGAAATATCATTTAAGTACTTAAACATTTCTATTTAAAAAATACTAGCTTTTAAAATGGTAAGTACACGATAAAATTCAAAAGTTGAACTTACCGTACAAATTTCCAGAAGAATATAAATAGCAGACATAAATGTATGATCAGCAGGACTAAATGAAATCGCCTATCCAAAAATGTGTCTTCTGGTAAAAATTTCCAGTTAACTGTCCATAAAAATAGAAACTGACGACTGAAATCGAATGCGCGGCTAACATATGCCCAAGCATTATGAAACAGAAATGGTGTACCAACTACTAACTGAAATTTAGAGAAATATCAACGAATTATGAAGTTGTTAGTAACAGAATGATATACAAATTTGTCCAGTATATTTGAATTATACTCACTGCATGACAGTTTATGTTCTTATCTTGCTGGTCAGACTGAAGTAGGCAAAGAGTGTTAAAACTTATTATACAGTTTGAGATTTCCTTGCCTGGACTATTAAGACATAAGCTTAATGAGCCTCTGGAAAACCCAATCTCGGCAATAAACATGAACGTTGCATGTATTCTACTCTCAGATATTCAGAATGATTGATCTCAAATTAACAAATGGCAGTCATATAAGATACATTGAAACTTCAAAATATACTTCAGTAATGCATCTGATTCCAAAATGTCGGACGTCATAACGAAAGAGACGAAACAATACTTCGCAAACTACTTTAATTTGTTGTCAATATAAACTATTTCGCTATTCAGCAATATGCAAAGCCAAAAGCATGTTATGAATTCTATAAAATAATTTGTGAAAAATATGTAAAAACATGATGTGAACATAACAGGAAATAGCAGATTATATCAGATAAAATGTCTCTACTTACTTGTACAGTGAAGCACTCACAAAGATGACCGATTGTTTCTAAAATCCCTTTATGCCAAACTAACACAGTTAGAAATCCAGGAAAGAATAGTAACACGTTCATTTTTATCGAAACACCAAGGCTATAATATAAAAAACAGGTAAAATTGTGATAGAAGTAGTATCGGTGACTTTGATATACTTGGGTCTACTAGTAAGAGTTAAGTTTTATGAACCAGACAGTGAAATATTATATCATAGAGTATTTAAGATTAGCCTTACGCACTTTATAAATGAGAATCAATAGGTATATACACCTTTGTATTACGCGCTGCGGCAGGCCCTTATAATGCACCGAGTGAAGATGCGATCATGCTCCTTCGAATACATACCAATGAGGAAGTGTGATATAATAGCCATGATGAAAAAGAAAATTCCACAGGTGTAACAGTACATAGGCAGTGAAAAAGTCATCTCTTGAAATAACAAATCTTGGATAAAAAACTTCTTCAGCCTATTTCAGCTGGCTTTATAGGGCAGCACATAAACTGTCAGGCACTATTTGAGCTTCATAGTCTAGTAGATCCTCATCAGTGACTTCATTATTAAGCTCTACAGTTGTATTTGTAATCGGTATCATGACACTAAAACGAGTTGCTTAGTCAATGTGCAAAATATACAATAGGTGTTGGTAGTGCATTCCTTATTGGTTTCTACTCAAAGTACAAGCTAAGCAGATGTGGGTATCAGGTGAACTATGCAAAATAATAAACGCTTTTCATTGCTCTGAAATAAATTCTAAAAAATTCCAAATATCATGGAGACTGGAATATTTTCTAGGAAAGCAGAGATGCATACCACCATATGCATGTTGTTGTCAATAAAGAAGTGACCAGTTACAGCTGGTTAATAGAATTAAGTGATTAATGGTTGGTAGAAGGACAAACAGATATCCATAACACATGAACCGTGACAACTGCCCATACGTTCGAGTTGCAATAATTTACAACATGTCAGTGCAAAGAAATCAACTACGAAGAAGTCAAGGAAATAACCCCTATGAACAAACAACGTTTGCTAGATATGGAGGCTTACTGAAAAGATCGAAAGTAATGCCAAAGATGAACTGAAGAGCCGGGACTCGACGACAGAAATATTTTTTCCTCAATGGACTATTCATAGTGGTACTGTCTTCCTATTCAGAAAGTGGTCAATTCGGAACAGTTCGACATTCTTACTTGCTTCATAATTTTCCCTAGTCTGCTAAGAAGCATTACAAAGAACAGGCAAAAATTCAAAAGAAAGAAACGTAATCAACTTCACTGATAACGAAATATCCTTAACCTACATTATCGTTAAAGCACTTCGAAATAGCTGGGGTCCGGAAGTACTATTAGACTGCATAGTTCAACTAGCAAATAGCTCTCCCCTAATAACTGCAAATATTCTTCTCCTTATTTTAACACTAATCTATTCCGATACTATGGAACGACATATATGGTCTTTCAATAATGCATCCCACTCTAAAAGTTTAAACACACCATAAATACGAGGTGAACAATACGTTAGGCTACATCGTATTTCCAAAATATAAATATCACATTTAAATGAAACCGCTCAAATTTATGCAAACACTACGGTAAATTTTAAAATCTACCAAGTATGTGACTACTTTTTAAGTGGTCGGGGCCTATTGGTTTTTAAATGAAGGAAAAAACAACGTACTGGGAAGGGTATGAGATCAGCCGATGCCGATTCGTAATCGTTGCCTACGCGTTCATTAACTGCAGTTCGTATGATGCGAAGGATAAATCCTATCAGGAGCTGTTAATTTTGATATAGAAAGCAAAGCATTCAGATATAGTCATCATATCAGGTGACTTCAACGTTCAAGTAGGAAAGCTAAGCCAATAGGAAAGGCATCTTATATCACACAAGCGACAACGGTGGTCAACTCTTGCAATTTTGTTCTGACAATCACTAGTTTCCAACCAGCACTAAATGCAAGCAGAAAGAGAGAAACGGGCTCACATGGCGTTCGGAGACGTCAAACCAACGATAGACCACATTGTTACAGGCCATCGTTAGAGGATTGCTGCTTCCAGCAGTACATGCCTGGGCTCCAATTCTGCGGGGAAATCAGAAAGGTATCAAATACAGACGAGGGTGCATCGACCAGATATTTACTCTTCAGCAGGTTCTGGAATGCAAACATACCTTCTGGTCCCCGACACTTACCATAATTCATACTCTGAAGGTGACATTCGAATATGTCGATCGCGGGGTGTTGTGGGAGTGTCTGACTGTAGAGAGAATACCGAGCAAGTATGTAACGCTAATTGTAGCTTTCTACCCGAAGTCATGCAGCGGTGTAAGGGTTTATGAGGAGTTGCTGCCTGGAGTGATGACGACCAGTGGTGTCCGTCGCGAATGCCTGCTGTTACCATTCCTGTTCAACTTCGTCACAAACGCGCTGATAGACTTAACCCGAGGTAACTCCGATTTTACTGAGATTTACATACTCTCTGGAGGACACCCGATTGACTTGGAATATCCAGATGACTTTGTTCTGTCCCGTGAAGGCGTTGACAAAATGTAGTGTCTTTTGTACGCGTTAAGCGGAAATCTGATTGTATGTAACATGTGTTTCGCATCCGTTAAACGTAAGATGGTGGTTTAGGATTAGTTTGCAGCTATTTAAAGTTTAATGGTGGGTAGTAGGGTGGTGGGATGCTTTGACCACTTCACTTACGTGGGGAGTGGCTGCTGACGAAATCTCAGCTCGGATATAAAAACCCCGTTTGGCATTACCTAACTTACACCATCTCTGACGGAAACTGGTGAGATATCCAATTACCTGTTAAAGGATGAGTATACTGTTATCCAGTTCATTATATCTTGCTATACGCCTCTGGCTACTGAACGTAAAACATCAAGAAATTACAGGTTTTCGAAAACATGCGTTCCGTACCATTGCTTGCGCATGGTGGACTCACCGTGCGAGCAACGCCGAGATTAGACGAACAGTACTAGGCATGGTAGAGGGGGCTGAAAGTCACTAAATGAGGTTGTGAGCCTTCAATGATTGAACTGAGGTAGCTTGGAAATGTGTTGCATACACAGAGTCACTACGTACCTTGAAGTGTAGTGTAATTCGAAGCAGTATTAGGCTGGAAGAAGGCTCAGAGTGGCCAAACGAAAATATGGAATCAGTTGACGGAGTCTGTGACTTTTGATCTGATCCGTGTGGTTAGATGAAGACTGTTTTTCTGGTGTAGTCAAGACAACAGGAATGAATGGTTGGATACTCTTGATGACATGGGTGAAAATTAGTCAAAACGGAGTGAATATATTCACTCTTTGACATTTTCTAAATTTTTAACACTTCCACTAACCTTTATTTTCAGTTTCCTTCTCCTCGTCTACACTTTTTTTACTTTGATGTCACCTTTTTTCTGCCTACTTGATCTTTGTATGGTTCTGTGAAGTATGTCAACTTGAAAAGGGACTTGTGTGCGAGGTTCTACGTTGATGTTTACATCTGTCTGTCAATAGCTTTGTCGACTTTTGTATACTAGGCTATGAGCAACACCTATAATATAAAGGGTTATGATAAGAATATCTTCCTTGAGTTCATTTTAGCAGGCTGGATCTCATTATCCAGTAATTGGGAGTTAAGCTTTTTGATCAATTAGACACAGACCAAAAGAAAGTTGGAAGATTAGGCTATGATGGATTCCCTAACCCAGTGGCTGACAGTAGTGTTCATATTAATAGGCGACATCATAATTGAGTGATGTCAGCTGGAGATATTCACAGTTATGATGCTTATCTACCTTCATCATAGACATCAAGTTACATCAAATGTAGTCTAATGACTGTCGTAGCAAGATTTGAACAACTTTTTGTGTAGATTTCGCACCCACCAAGTCTGAGGTGATGCTTTAGGACTGGTGTGCATCAAACCTTATTTCAATAATGCAAGTTGAAGTGGTACAGTGCACTGGTCAATTCATGTATTTGAAGTTGCATGCACCATCCAGTTCAATGAAATATAGGTAAGAGAACCAAGAGATAGGCAATTCTTCACTAATTGTGCCATATATATCTGAATCCTTATCAGTGACCGAGCATACATTGTGGGAGAATTTTTTGTTGCACAGTTGATATATGGTAATTGATGACGGATGCCATAAAAAAGGTACACGATTCCATCACAAACATACCATCCTTACCTGTGATAGAAATCAAGTCGAAGTCATTGCAAACACAGGTTTAAGTTAACCAACATCTTATTAGCACAACAAGTGAAGAAGCATCAAGATAAAAGAAATTATTGAGGAAGGCAGTCAAGAGTGAAAGAAAGTCGCCAAAAGAGAACAAGGAATGAGACAATACTCAAATGCAGCGTAATGATTAAGATGAAGATAATATGTGGACACATTTTTTTATTGATATGTATTTCGAAACATATCACTTGGAGTCTCCGACCACTACTTTCTCTTGCCACGTGGACCACAACTGGGAAGTCTACATCTTACACAGCTCATATCAGCAGTCAGAGACTTCATGAAACGTATGCCATTTTTTGGCTTGGCCACGTCTAACCTTTTCCATCTTAAATCCTATTTCAGCTAACAGCTTATGACGAGGTAAACAGTAGCTAAGCACGCATAACAAATGTCCCACTCACCTGAGACAATGCAGATTCCCAATCTCATGAACTGACTTCTACACTATTGATGCGGTGACGTTACGACGAACGGCCTAGGGTACGAAGGGAACGATAGTCGAACACCTGAAGCCTTCTCATATCCTCCATCTTCAACGGCTGTTTCACAGCCATATTGTAGGGTAGATCAAGCTGCAGTACAGTACAATGGGTCTATAATAGACAATCAGATATTATAGCCACGCAATAAATGGTGTTGGCGAAAGACAAGCGGGTCTTTTGTAAATACGCAGAGATTTCGACGGTCATTGGCTCATCAGTGCTGATTCAATTCCTCATGTAATTAAGGTAGTCAAAGCGCTTAACCGATATACTCCCGATCGCTAGACAAGACACATGCAGACCAGTCTCTGAGCAACAATTTGGATTTGGGTGGGGGAACAGTATTCCGAACATTTTCAAATTGCCACTCAATGTGTCTAGAACTGTCCATTTTGCCAGCATCTTCACTTAATAGAACTGTCATCTGCATACTGTAGGTTAACTAAGGATTTTCCTGTGGTAGAATTAATCCCTATGAAATCAAAAGACGATTCAACGAACTCCATAAGTATGTCGCGGGACGAGAGGAACCAGTGGCTGGAGACTCTAGGTGGTATGGCTCAGAACCGATGTCAGTGGCGCAGATGTATATACACATTATCCTCATCTTAACACTATACCGATTCTCACCATTCTGTCATTCTTCCTCTCTTTCTCCTAGTACTTTATATTTCTCTTGACTGAATTTTCTTATCTTCATCTTTCACCTCACTACCTTTCTACTTGATGTACTGATATGAGCTGTGGCCACTCGGACCGTTACGTAGTAGTGGCTGGTCCTATGTTGATATTGATGATAAGTATGTCTGTTTTAAAATTAAATAGGAAGAGTGAATATCCTTAACACAGGCTCTAACAAATCCATAGTTGTTCGAGTGCGGGTTTTTCAATAGAGTGATGCACCTACTCTGGACCCATTTCAGTGGGACACACTAGCATAAGATCACTCGATCGACGGAATCAAACGTCACCTTCGGATCGAACCGGTTTTCTCCTTCCGAACTCCACTTGGACGTCTGTTAATTATTGAACCTAAAATCCTAGACACTGTTTGTACGGTTGATTTCCCTACGGTTATCCACAAGGAGATTTCTCCCTTTTCTTGAAGACCGAAGCAATCAGTGACTAAGAACTGTGAGACCAGACATATATGCCACCCATACACTAGCCAACACTTCAGTTAACTTGACCAATAGTGCTTGACCACCATGTTTAAATACCTCCAGTCCTGCGGAGCTATGATTCATTGGTTTAGGAGGATGACTTCCAACCAATGGGTCACAGGTTCAAAACCCGCTCCGCCTACCAAGGTTTGGGCAACCAGGTAGTAGTATCCTTAACCCTCATACAACAGGTGTGGCTCATTGCTTACTACATGAATGTGCACGCAGTTGCTGTGTACGCTTCGATTCGACTTTGACCTCCGGTTCCAGCACATATGACCCTGCTGCTCTTCTTTGTACCAGTTTACTTACAGCTATCTCAATTTCTGCAAGTATTTGAGGCCCTACCTGTGTTCCAGTTAGGATCCGACTAGATAGCAGGGAAAAGAATAGTAATTGTGGGTCAACTCTTTGAAGCACTCCGTACATTTTTCTAGTTGTCTTTCATGCGAGTGGATCGTAAACCCATCCTCCTACGCTAATCTCGCCAACAACTGATGTTTCTGCTCGTTTCTTTACTACTGTTACCTATTGCTGCTGCATTTTTCATCTTTTTAGCCTTCACTATCTACCAGTGATAGCGTCGGTTGTGTAGACTTTTTGTCAGTCTAAATTTGGGTTTTTGTTTGCTCCTCATTGTCCTCGGAGTCTACAGGAATGCGTTTACATATATCCATTAATTCACAAGGGGCTGTTGAGGTCCACTGACTATCTAATCACCAGTTACGCTGCTTTTACAGTCAACAGAAAACGGCAGTAGACCTCTCCTCGATGAGTGATGCTGTTCTTCTCTGATAAATGATTAACCAGTTTCCTGCTAACAGCAGTCTCGGTATCTTTATCACCAAGCTGTGCTTGCAATGATCTTGTTGCTATAGTTTCCCCTGTCCATGTAGGTGAACATAAGCGTCTTTAAACCAACGCGTAATCGCTGTTTAAAGGCGTGCCCCAGAAGGAGAGGAAGTCTTCCACTAATCCTCTTCAGCGATGACTGGTAGTAATATGGTCTATCTGTGTGGGGCAGCAGAGCAGCCATGGCTGCACCGGAAGTCACCGCTGTCCAGAAATAAGCTTTTATCTGCACGTAGCTCCAAAAGACGTTTTGCATTATCTAGCCTGTGACGGAAAAATCTCCATTGGTCGCTTGAGTTTAAATGTTTGGATTGTGCATTTAAGTACCTAAGTAGTAATAGGATATCTGTCGAGTTCAGGGGGTAGGTTACTCAATTAACGGTTGAACTCAACATTAGCTGCATTCAGACTGAAGTCAATCAGACTAAGTAGAAATGAAGCAGTACGATTTTTCTCATCAGTTTCTTCTTGCTTTAATCGAATCTTTCAACCTAACAGCACGTAGGAGACTGTCAATGTGGATCCAATCAATCAGGGTGGACTTTAACACTTCGAGACCAACAACAGCATGGCCACCTGTTTGTGCCACAGGATTCTTAGATGAGCGCATAAGAAGCTTTAGAGCTGACAGACGGAAGAGTCATTATATGCATGTTATTTCGATTTTCCCTGACATTGGGATTCATCAAACATTAATGGTGAGGCTTTCTAGGAACGTAGCCAAATGTCTGTTGTCTGATCTTCATCAAGGTCTAAGTGTTTATGGTAGTCACGTCACATGTGATAAATATCAGCTCACACTGTTCGTCGCAACTTTTAAATAATGTACTACACGGCAAAAAGAATAAACCCGACAGCAAAGTACATAGATAGAACCAACTACAGTTCGAGAAAAAGTCAACGGAAATTCACAGAACCATAACGCACTTAACTTCGAAATCAAATATGATTAAAAAAACCTTAATCAACAATTTGGCCATCGGAATACAAGACAAACAATTGGTGACTGCCGGATGTTAAGAATTATTAGTAACTCAAATATTCGGGTTAGCAGTAACTGGTCCACAAAATGTAAATATAATTAGCTTTCCTGCAAAAATGGCTCGCTTTCAAAACGAAATGCTAATTTTGCGCAGCAATCAAGTGGTGTTTGCTGGAGACTAATTTTTAATGCGACTTATCAATCAAAGTATTTAATAGGACCTGACTAACCTGAATAATATGCTGCCGATTGTGAACCGGTTGTATAACAAGGCAGTGACAGAGGCGAACATGAAGAACATAGCAACTGGATCATTGAAAAGCCTTAGCAGGTATATCGAATGTACGCGGTATGATACGAGGCACATAAAAAAAAGAGCATAAGGGGGAACCTGCCATAAGTGATCACAAACGAATTAGTACCTGAAAAGAAAGTCTGTATATGTTGAAGACCAGTAACAACGTTGCTATATACAATCCAAGGAATACAAACTGGGCAGTTTTAATAAGTGACCCTCCATTTGTAAGCCAGTGCAAGAAGCTGTATACGTATATATATCCAGCCGGGTACCTAAAAACTGAAACGTTATTCATTTATACATACACACAAGGTCCTGTTTGGCCCTCCAACTTATCATAGTCTAATGTTCCATTCAAAAATCCGGCCACCTGTTGCATATAGGCGACCCAGTCTATTTCAGTATCTAAAGTCAATATCTTAATAGAAAAAAAATGTCGAAAACTACTTACACGGAACATTACTAATAATGAAGTAGCCACATATGATTTCAACAAGCAGAAGCACAGGCGATAAAAACCAGAACCCATAAGATTCATATAATAATCCCCTCAGAAAACAAACCGCACGTTTCACAACCATATTAAGGCGAATGTTTGAATAACCGCACGACCTTCGTCAACAGATTGTGCCGTACATAAACTTTAAATCTCCAATATCCAATATCTGTTCAACGAGCTTGTGCAGAACGGTTTATTTCTTCGTGCTCGCTCCTTGGTCTTGCAAGACAGTCCCAGGTCTTTGGTGGATTCCAGTGCAGTAGATCCAGCCACTCGTGTTCTATAGCCATTGTATACACAACAGAAGGTTAAGTGTTAGTTAGTTTGCCTGGGACTGTGGTGCAGTTAGGTTCTTCAGATGTCGGGTTGCCAGGCAGTAGCTCGGGCTGGCCGTTAGAGAGAGTCAGGGATAGTGAAGAGATAACCTAGGAAGAGAAATGTGAGTAAAAACAAAGAAACATGAACTGTTGGAATAATCTACTTACACCCAAGTAAGACGAGAGTAGGTGAGTCTAATTCACAGCATTTGAAGGGGATGAAAAGGGTTTAAATGATTGGAGTATGAAGAGGTAACACAATTTGGATGGCGTGACTGCAGTTGATTTCCTCTGTTTGGTTCATATTCCAACTACATGTATGTAAACCATGGGTTTCTGAATAACCATACGGCCTTTTTCCGCAGCTTTCAACAGGTGGGCGGAGATTGCTTCTACTGGTAATGCATTCTGGTGTCCACAGACTCGAAGGAAAGAAAAGTGTCAACGCCCACGTGTTTCTGACCTTTGGTGGGCAACTTTCCTAGGTTTCCACGAGGTTCACCATAGTGGCCATACGGTAGTACTCCTCTGTTTGGGTGACTTGGGTTGTTCAGTATTTTGTAAGCCATTATCAAATCTCATAACCTTAGGTAACTAGGAGGGTATAGGCCTAGGTCTCTTATTCTATCCTCATAGGGTTTTATGTGCACCCCGACAACCCCTTTTGTGTCTTGCCTGAGAACTTCCTTCAGTAGGTTCGTGCCTCTTTTCAGTTGTGGCTGAGCGAAGACGTTATGAGCCACCAGGCGGGGTCGTGTGTAGGTCTTGCAGAGTTTGTAAAAGAGCTCTGGGGTAGGGGCATCTAGTTGTCTACGCGCAAAGTGTAGTATAGCGTATGCTTTCGGTGCATCTCCTGGGCAACAGGATGTAATGTCCAATTTCCCAGTCACCATTAAGCCCAGGTTTGTTCTGCTGAGTTATCAGAAAGATGTGAATCACAGATAGAGGAGGATACTTTCTACGGTTCAGAGCCGGTATTCATTCAGGTGAAATGCCAATTCATTATTCGTTGCCCACTCCCCGATTGTCTTGAGGTCGTTCTGTAGTGCATCCGATTCCGTCTCGCATGCTACCGCCCTCCGTAACTCGACGTCGTCAGCGTGGAGGAGAATCAGGGGGGCTGGTAAGCAGCAGAAGGTCATCCAAGAACAGTAGAAACAACAACGGATCCAGCAGTGCTTTTTGGGAGTTACCGGACAGCAATGTTCCCCAAGTCCAGCAAACCCTGTCGACTTTCAAGCAGAACTGCCAGCCGCCTGAGAAGTTATTCAGCTGTGACAGCATCTGACAGCAAACACCCAACCCAGCTGTTTTATGCATTAGGATGGTGCGCGAAACAATGTCAAAGGCTCTGGCGAAATGCAGAAAAATCTTACGGACCGGGACCTTGAGGTTCTGGGATGCTGTTCATTGGTCGTGGGCCATCAAGGGGTTGGAGGGACAGGGCCTACCTCTTCGGAAATCATTTTGAGCATCATCGAGTGCCTGCTTTGTGTCCACATATTCCCTGATGCGGTCGTTTTTCACACTTTCCATAGCTTTCGATATTACTGGTAAAAGTGCTATGGGCCTGTAACAGTCCGGGTTCTGCGTGTCTCCTCCATGAAAGGTAGGAGGGGAGACAGCTCATTTCCACTCCCATGGGAGTTTTCTTTCGTCCAAGGGGTGTTGGAAAAGGTTCTGAATTGATTGACTTAGGGTGCCTGCACATAGTTTCAACACAGATGGGGGAATGTTGTCACATTTTGGGTGTTTTCCGGCACTTAGCTTTGATAGCTTATCGAGAACAGCAGCACGAGCTACCTGCACCTCGCGAAATTCTGCCGCGTCATATAACGTCGGGAGCTGTTCCCATAGTGAGTGCGCATGCCCTCATGATGGATTGTTGAGTGTGTGTCAAAACCGTCACATAACATTTCGGCTATCTCTCCAGAGAGGCTTTCTGCGTTCAGACCTTTGACGACGCCGCCTCTTGGCTTTTTAGATTTTCTCGCCTCTAGCGTCTTGGCGACGTCGGACTGAAGCAAACCCCCTGTCTCCCCACGCCATGATGTTGCATATAGTTCGTACAGCTGTATTTGTGTCAGCAGCATCCACTTCCCGGGAGAGCCTCTACTTATGTTATGCTCTCCTCCTGACTTTAGGTAGGCTCTCAGTGCCTGGGTTTGGCCATGAGGTCCTCTTTCTGGGTGCTGTCACCACCAAGGGGACGTTTCAGAAATCGTTATCGTTATCGGTGCTGGGTCATCTAGCAAGTCCGGTAAGCTGACGATGACTAAGTCGGACTTAGTTTCTTGTGATTGAATGTGTCTCAAGGCAAAGTGAGCTTCCACATGGGAGGACCATGCAGATAGTCTGTGGGCCCAGAAGGTGGGAAGCTGAAGGGTTACGGCCATCTACGCGGTCGAGTTGTTATCCGCCATTGATAAGTGAATTAAAGAGGCACGATGATGACAATAATACTAAAAACTGCAATGCAAAAATAACCAATGAGGAGTGCGATAAAAAAAACTCTAGACCGTGCCAAAAACAAAAATAGGCCAGACAAATCAACGCTAGAGAACAAAGGTACTAGACAAAGTAAGAAGTGATACTTGGGCTCACCAATTTGTAGGGATGCGTGTTACAATTCCGTAACGATTGACCAACCCTACTTAACTTGATATGCTCTAGTACCTGCTTAACCAGTACTTTACCTAACGTGTAAGTACCGATAACAAAACACAAATCAAAAGAACTGATACGCAATGTATTTGAAGGAGCTATGTATTTAATCAAAGTAAATGTAATAATAATGAATGAGGGAAAAGTTTAATCAACTTATCTAGCTTGTTAGGCCGAACCAGGAACGCGGAGTACATGTGTGGTAACCAGCACAATGGAGCGCAAAATGGCGACCAAGCCTGCTCGGATGCATGCTCGTTAAAACGAAACTTAAAAGCACTCTAAGCATCCGGAGGAAAGCTAGAGGTTTATTTAGTTAATTTAATTTAAACTATTTATTTTAGCCCTAGTTATATTTTGGTCACAGGAAGGTGCACTAGAAATTGACCAAAAACTTAGGTTTCAGATAATATAAACAACAGCATATCACTCTAAGGCAAGCGAAATGATGAACAGGGTCCACATGCAACCGATATTATTCCTTATATCTATCGAAGGTGACGTCGAGTAGGTGGAAAGGTGCAGTGGACCCTAGGAAAGTTAGCACCAGCTGTAATTAACTACCAAAGTGAAAGGCAAGGCAACAAACAGTGCACAAAGATAGACGTTTAATCAGAAGGTGAGCAGATACAGTAAAATATATTCGAAGATAGGGTTATGGGAAAACACTGTTACTGGGTTGTGTGATGCAAGTTTAGTCTCCGTCACTTAAAGTGAAATGTTGGATGATTTGGTGATGACGAATCTTGGAAAGTACGGCCATTAAGTAGATTGTTTGTACATTTGGAAATAGAAGATGAGGTCCCTGAAAACATTTTCAAGAACAATCCACGACAGCTGGTTGTAAGTAAAGGCAACGGAAAGCGAAACACAGCAAGAGCGAGTGTAGCGCATTCAAACTCTTACTCATTCACCTTAGAGTTTCGCGTCACCTCTTCGTTGTCCAGCTCTACTGTTTGTCAGTTATCTTTTATTATTAAATGTAAGTACATCCTGTGTACTTGCTGAGTCGTCAGCTCACCTTTCTTTCCCTCCTTTTTTTCTTTCCAGATTCTCGTGGCCACCACCAAACACACTGCTCTGCGCTTCCCCATGCAACAACGTACCTATCTACAGACTAGACGAAAACTATTCAACAACTGGTCGTTATATGAGTCACCATGTATTTTCACACAAGTGATGACACGAAATACAAAGCTGTGTTCGTAGGAAATTGTGTAGTATATGTAAACAAACACTCGTTTTTACACAAGTTGAGGAAAACGAACAAAATGTAGAAAATGGCATGAAGAAACATTACTTTCAATTGAAAGATTTGTAAAAAGTGCTCAGACAGTCCCCACTGAAGTTACCTCTCTTCTTTTTAAGTTTACAGGCTGCAATAAAAAAAGGTATTGTCTACTTTGCATTGGGGCCATTGTACGGAACTGAAGCGCGTTCATTAGGATAACACTTTGACTGACCAACTGAAGTCCCACGAGATACAAGTAACTGTTAACAGTGGGTCAAGTGGTGCATGAATTACCTGAAGCGTGTACCCACAAAAAGCAGAAATGTTGAGTTTTATAGCCAATTAATTTCCTTGTTGTAAGTATTCATATGTCAGACATGAAGCTGTTTGTTAACCACTTCAACCACCTTATGACGTCCTATGTAAAGTCCTAAGCAGGAGGAATAGATTACTTAACACATAGATCAAATAAAACTGGCATTTTGCTAAGGAGAGCAAGGAGGGAAATTGAAATCCTTGATTTTATCTTATCAAAAGGAAAAATCAATGCACCTGAACTGGCGAAACATCCATTGATAGGACACCTGGATTCCTGGATCCCACTGTGAATCATCAAGATGGATACAACATCATGGTTATCCGGCAGGATCCAGTTATCCGTGCATGAGCCCATCTGTTAAGAGTGGTCGATTAATTTGACTTCACAAAGCAACGGAAAATTGTAAGTATCAAACTACAGGAAATGATGTCCGTTGCACAGGCAGCGGCTGTGGTGCCCCGTTAGGTTAGTGAATAACGCTTTGTTGTTCAAAGCAGTGGATACTTGGTTCGAGTCCCAGTGGGAAAAACGTCACTAACTTGGGTGCAGATCAATCTATTTGACAAGTCCCAAGTAGGACAAAACGCGCATTCTGGATTCC